GACTCAACAATCCCATTAGAGGGTATATACCCAAAGGAATATAAATCATTCTGTTATAAAGGTACATGCATATATATGTTCATTGCAGCACTATTCACAATAGCAAAGACATGGAATCAATCCAAAAGCCCATCAATGATGGACTGGATAAAGAAAATATGGTACATATACACCATGGAATATTACGCAGTTATAAAAAGGAATGACATCAAGTCCTTTGCAGGGATATGGATGAAGCTGGAAGCCATTATCCTCAGCAAACTAACACAGGACAGAAAACCAAACACTGCATGTTCTCACTTATAATTAGGAGCTGAACAATGAGAACACGTGGACAAAGGGAGAGGAACAACACACAGTTGTTGGGGCCTGTTGGGAGAGGGCGGTGGTCGGTGGAGCGTTCGAAAAAATAGCTAACGCATGCTGGGGTTAATACCTAGGTGATGGGTTGATAGGTGGAGAAAACCACCATGGCACACGTTTACCTATGTAACAAACCTGCACATCTTGCACAGGTACCCTGGAATTTAAAATAATATTAAATTAAATTTAAAAACAAGCTTAAAGCATTAAAGAAAAATAATTAGATAAAAAAAGACTTTGATTTACAAAATCCTGAAACAATAGTTTGAATTTTGCTTTTAACATATATGCAAATCCTTTAATACTGCTCCCTTCCAGATGTGCAGCTTAATTCCCTCTCTCGAGTGTGGCTTGGACTTAATGATGCACTTCTGATATGGCCTGGCTCTGTGTTCCCACCCAAATCTCATCTTCAATTGTCATGCTAATTGTAATCCCCACATACTCGGGGAGGGACCTCATGGGAGGTAACTGAATCATGGGGACGGTTCCCCCAAGCTGTTCTAATGATAGTAAGTGAATTCTCATGAGATCTGTTGGTGGAAATGTAAATTGATTCAACCACTGTGGAAGTCAATGATTGAACCTATTTTTCCTAATGATCCCCCCACCACCGCCCTCCACCAACAGGCCCATGTGTGTTGTTCCTCTCCCCGTGTCCATGTGTTCTCATTGCTCAGCTCCCAATTATAAGTGAGAACATGTGGTGTTTGGCTTTCTGTTACTCTGTTAGCTCCTTTAGTTTGTTGAGGATAATGGCTTCCAGCTTCATCTATATTCCTGCAAAGGACTTGATCTTGTGCCTTTTTAGGGCTGCATAATATTCCATGGTGTATATATACAATATTAGAGATTTTTCCCCACTTCACTCTGCTTTTCTCTCTCCTGCCACCATGTGAATAAGGACGTGTTTGCGTCCACTTCTGCCATGATTGTAAGTTTCCTGAGGTACCCTCCTCATCCATGAAGAACTGTGAGTCAATTAAACCTCTTTTCTTTTTAAATTAGCCAGTCTCAGGTATTTCTTTACAGCAGTGAGAGAACAGAATAGTATAACTTCTAACTAATAGAGTAATGCTGACGTAGCAGTTTGTGAGTTTGGGTGTAGAACATAAAACTCACTGCGGCTTCCACCTTCTCTCTCTCTGTCTCTGGGATCATGAACTCTGGGGGAAGCCAGCTGCTGTGCCATAAGTGGCCCTGCAGGAAGGTTCACGTGACTGAGAACTGAGGCCTTCTAGGAACAGACAACAAGGAACTAGGCGTTTTCCAAGAGCCATGTGACTGAGCCATGTTTCATGTGAATGCTCAGCCCCAGCGAAGCCCTCAGATGATGCAGGCCTAGGCTGACAACTGGACTGCAACCTTGTGAGAGGCCCTGAGCCAGAAGCACTCAGGGAAACCTCTCCTGGATTCCTGATCATTGGAAACTGTGAGAGATGAGGAATATTTGTTGTTTTGAGCTGCTAAGTTTTACATAATTTGTTATGTAATAGTAAATAACTAATACATTTTCACAAGACAGAGTGTATTATTACATGTTAGTATGCATTTACTCTAAATTTATCATCATCATTATTATTATTTCTAAGACAGGATCTCATTCTGTCACCCAGGCTGGAGCGCAGTGGCATGATCACCATGCACTGCAGTGTCGACCTGCTGGGCTCAAGGGACCCTCTGATCTCAGCCTACTGAGTACCTGGGACTACAGGCATGAACCACCACGCCTGACTAATTTTCTAACTTTTTTGTAGAGATGAGGGCTTCACCATGTTGCCCAGGCTGATCTTGAACTTCTGGAGTCAACAAATTTGCCTTCTTCTGCCTTCCACGATGCTAGGATGACAGGCGTGAGCCACCACACCTGGCCTAAATTAATTATAAGATATTAAACATGTAACTTAGTTTTAAAAGGTAAGGGGAATTTCCACGGCTGAAGAGGATGCATTTTATTACCGTTCACAATGATCACTTTACTTGAACTTCAATTTCCAACTGTGTCCCAATTAAACACAAAAGGAAGATCCAACCATTGCTGGGCTGATTCTATGATGGCCCCAACTACCACCTCCTGGTCATTCACCTTCCCCCAGTTATTCAACCAACTCTAGTGTAGGTGCTGCTGTGAAGGGATTTAGCAGATATAATTAAGGGCCTCAATTAGTTGACTTTAGGCTGGGTTTATCCTGCTTGGACTGTCCTAATCAGGTGAGCCCTTGAAAGGACTGGGTTCTTGCTGAGCATAGAGATTCACAGTGTGAGAGGCACTCAGCATGAGGGGTTTCCTCCACTGTGGGCTTTGAAAATGAAGGGGCTGTGTAGCAAAGAACGCTGGTGGGCACCAGGAATTGAGCGCAGCCCTCTCTGTTCTCTACATTGACAGCCTGCAAGGAACAGGGACCTCAGTCTTACAACTGCTAGAAACTGCATCCTGCCACCTCTGCATAAGCCTAAAGAAGGATTCAAAATGAAGACTCAGGTTTGGGAAGCCCGGAACAGAGATTCCATCTACATCATGCTCGGATTTCTGACTAAGGAACTATAAACAGATAAATGGGTGTTGTTTAGCTAGGCGTGGTAGTGCACGCCTGTAATCCTAACATTTGAGGAGCTGACACAGGAGGATCACTTGCAGCCAGGAGTTTGAGACCAGCCCGGGTAATATAGTAAGGCACTCGTCTCTACAATTTTTTTTTTTTAAATTAGCTGGGCGTGGTGGCACTTGCCTGCAGTCCTAGCTACTCTGAAGACTGAGGCAGGAGGATTCTTTGAGCCCAGGAGTTTGAGGCTGCAGTAAGTCATGATCATGTGACTACACTTCACCCTGGATGATAGTGGGAGACTCTGTCTCTAAAAACAAATAAATGAATACAATAAATGGGTGTTGTTTAAAGCTAATGTTTGTGACAATTTGTTACACACTCTTATAAAATTCATACACAGGCTCCACAGACTCATGGAATGAACTGATGAATTGATATACACACTAGTTACATAAAATAAAATCTTTCTTAACTTTTTCAGTGTTTTACATTTTATAATTTTCTGTGATGCAATTTAATACACTCATATTTCATTCATTCAGTCAACACAAATTAACTTAGTCCCTACAATGAACCAGGTGTCCCCTCATATGCTCACGTGCCTGGCATTCTAGAAGCTTCACAAGACCGAGGTGGAGCCACTGGAGTGTTTTAGGTGGAGAAATGACACACTTTGACTCACATTAGCAGGACCACTGTGGAGAGAACAGTCACGCAGCAGGTAATGGGAGAGTGCCAGTGTCATAATTCAGGAGTGACAGTGTGATGGGGACTAAGGGGAGAGGAGGGCCTGAGGGATACAAGGGATGGAGGGAAGGGCTGGGGATGCAGGAGGTGAGGAAAAGGAGCAGGGGGACAGAATTCAAAAGCAGCAGAACTCTTAGGTTTGAACACATTGATTTACAGTATTTCAATACATTCATCTACAGAGCCTCACAGGGTGTTACTTGCAGTTGGCCTTTAATACCTTAAGTGGATCTGCTTAAAAACTAATTTTTCATGTTAATCAGGTTTTAAAAATACTGTTTCTATAAAATATACACACCACTTAGATGTGGATACTTCCTAAAACCTGGCAGTGCATGAGCACTGGTGATGGGCATTGTGACTGCATTTAGTGCTTGCAATTTTGAGGTGAATAAAGTCTGTACTGACTCCTGGTTGCAACATATAGGAACATAGTGGCTACTTTGTATTGAGGAGATGTTCTGGACTCACACAGAAACTCAGAGCTATGGAATGAAGGTAAATTTAAAATACAAGCGGGAGTCACAGATACATTGTCTGCGAAAGTGAAACTTAGGAGCTTTGTGAGTCCTGTTGTAACGCTTTTAGACACATTTATATATCAAGGGGCCAAAGTCACATTTTTTACCGATTAGATTCCTGATCATTCAGGGATTACCAAGATTCTGCTACTCACTGTAGTTAATAAACAAAAAGCAATCTGAACTCTATTCTATCTCATGCACTCAGGCACAACCTTTCCAGATTTAAAGAAAAAGATAAAAGAAAGAAAGAAAAAATAGCCCTGTCTCTATACCTCCATTCCCAGGGCGAGCTCCCTCTCTGGCACCAAGCTCCCTGGGGTGAGTTTTCTTCTAGAAGACTCCAGGGGGACAGGTAAAGAGTGGGAGACAGGGAGTCCATTTCAGGGACAGGAATTCCGGGATGAAAAGTGAAGCGAGAGGGAGGGGGCCCAAGCCGAGGGCTTCTTCCCGGTTTCTCAGACAGCTCCTGGGCCAAGACTCAGGGAGACATTGAGACAGAGCGCTTGGCACAAGAGGAGTGGGGTCAGGGCGAAGTCCCAGGGCCCCAGGCGTGGTTCTCAGAGTCTCAGGTCCCGAAGGCGGTGTATGGGCTGGGGGGTCCCAGGGTTGGGGATTCCTAATCTCCGCAGAGTTTCTCTTCTCCCTCTCACAACCTGCGACGGGTCCTTCTTCCTGGACACTCACGACGAGGACCCAGTTCTCACTCCCACTGAGTGTCAGGTTGCTAGAGAAGCCAATCAGCGTCGCGCCGCCCCGGTTCTAAAGTCCACACATCCTCCCACCGGGACTCAGAGTCTTCCTAGACGCCGACGATGGGGTCATGGCGCCCCGAACCCTCCTCCTGCTGCTCTCGGGGACCTTGGCCCTGACCGAGACCAAGGCGGGTGAGTGCGGGGTCAGGAGGGAAACCGCCTCTGCAGGAGGAGAGAGGAGCAAGGCGCCCTCTGGGCAGGGGCGCAGGACCTGGGGAGCCGCGCGGGGAGGAGGGTCGGGCGGGTCTCAGCCTCTCCGCGCTCCCAGGCTCCCACTCCTTGAGGTATTTCAGCACCATCCGTGTCCCGGCCCGGCCACGGGGAGCCCCGCTTCATCGCCGTGGGCTACATGCGGTTCGTGCGGTTCGACAGTGACGCCGCGAGTCCGAGGATGGAGCCGCGGGAGTGGTGGGTGGAGCAGGAGGGGCCTGGAGTATTGGGAGCTGCAGACACTGGGCGCCAAGGCCCAGGCACAGACTGGCTGAGTGAACCTGAGGACCCTGCTCCCATACTACAACCAGAGCGAGGCCGGTGAGTGACCCCCGCCCGGGGCGCATATCACTTACTCCTGGCTTCATGCCTCACGGACGGCCCTGGTCCCCCTGAGTCTCCGGGCCCAAGATCAACCCCGAGGCTGCGGGACCTGCAGAGATCCTCGACCCTGGAGAGCCCCAGGAGCCTTTACCCGGTTTCATCTTCAGTTGAGGCCAAAATCTCTGCAGGTTGCTAGGGGCCGGGCCGGGGCTGGGTGGGCGGGGCTGACCGCGGGAACTGGGCCAGGGTCTCACACCCTCCAGGTAATGTTTGGCTGCGACCTGGGGCCCGACGGATGCCTCCTCCGCTGGTATGAACAGTATGCCTACGACGGCAAGGATTATATCGCCCTGAACGAGGACCTGAGCTCCTGGACACACAGCGGCTCAGACCACCCTGCGCAAGTAGGAGGCGGCCAATGTGGCTGAGCAAAGGAGAGCCTATCTGGAGGGCAACTGCGTAGAGTGGCTCCACAGACACCTGTAAAAGGGGAAGGAGACGCTGCAGCGCGCGGGTACCAGGGGCCATGGGGTGCCTCCTAGATCTCCTGTAGATCTCCTGGGCTAGCCTCGCACAAGGAGGGGAAGAAAATGGCAACACCACCAGAATATCGCCCTCCCTCCGGTCCTGAGGGAGAGGAATCCTCCTGGGTTTCCAGATCCGGTACCAGAGAGTGACTCTGAGGGCCCGCCCTGCTCTCTGGGACAGTCAAGGGATGAAGTCTCTGAGGGAGTGGAGAGAAAACAATCCCTGGAATACTGATCAGGGGTTCCCTTTGACCCCACAGCAGCCTTGGGCACCGGGACTTTTCCCCTCAGGCCTTGTTCTCTGCCTCACACTCAATGTGTGTGGGGGTCTGACTCCAGCTCCTCTGAATCCCTTGGCCTCCACTCAGGTCAGGACCAGAAGTCCCTGCTCCCCCGCTCACAGACTAGAACTTTCTAAGGAATAGATTATCCCAGGTGCCCGTGTCCAGGCTAGTGTCTGGGTTCTGTGCTCCCTTCCTGACCCCAGGTGTCCTGTCCATTCTCAAGATAGCCACATGAATGCTGCTGGGGTTTCCCATGAGAGATGTAAAGTGCCTGAGTTTTCTGACTCTTCCTTTCAGACTCCCCCAAGACACACGTGACCCACCATCCTGTCTCTGAACACGAGGCCACCCTGAGGTGCTGGGTCCTGGGCTTGTATCCTGCAGAGATCACACTGACCTGGCAGTGGGATGGGGAGGACCAGACCCAGGACATGGAGCTCGGGGAGACCAGGCCCGCAGGGGATGGAACCTTCCAGAAGTGGGTGGCTGTGGTGGTGCCTTCTGCAGAGGAGCAGAGATTCACATGCCATGTGCAGCATGAGGGTCTGCCCAAGCCCCTCACCCTGAGATGGGGTAAGTAGGGAGATGGGGGGATCATGTCTCTTAGGGAAAGCAGGAGCCCCTCTGGAGACCTTTAACAGGGTCAGGTCCGGGTCCTGGGGGTCAGAACCCTCACATTCCCCTCTTTTCCCAGAGCCGTCTCTCCAGCCCACCATCCCCATTGTGGGCATCATTGCTGGCCTGGTTGTCCTTGCAGCTGTTGTCACTGGAGCTGTGGTCGCTGCTGTGCTGTGGAGGAAGAAGAGCTCAGGTGAGGAAGGGGTGACAGGTGGGGTCTGAGATTTCTTGTCTCACTGAGGGTTTCAAGCCCCAGGTAGAAGTGCCCTCCCGGTTACTGGGAAGCACCATCCACACTCATGGGCTGACCCAGCCTGGGCCCTGTGTGCCAGCACCTACTCTTTTGTAAAGCACCTGTGACAGTGAAAGACAGATTTATCACGTTGATGACTGTGGTGATGGGACCTGATCCCAGCAGTCACAGGTCAAGGGAAGGCCCCTGCTGAGGACAGACCTTAGGAGGGCAGTTGGTCCCAGACCTACATCTGCTTTCCTTGTTTTTCCTGATCCTGCCCTTGGTCTGCAATCACACATTTCTGGAAACTTCTCGAGGGTCCAAGACTAGGAGGTTCCTCTAGGACCTCATGGCCCTGCCACCTTTCTGACCTCTCAAAGGACATTTTCTTCCCACAGATAGAAAAGGAGGGATCTACTCTCAGGCTGGAAGTAAGTATGAAGGAGGCTGATCCCTGAAATCCTTGGGATATTGTGGTCGGGAGTCCATGGGGGAGCTCACTAACCCCACAGTTCCTCCTCTAGCCACATCTCCTGTGGGATCTGACCAGGTTCTGTTTTTGTTCTACCCCAGGTAGCCAAAGTGCCCAGAGCTCTCATATGTCTCTCACGGCTTATAAAGGTGAGACCCTGGGGGGCCTGATGTGTGTGGGTTGTTGGGAGTAACAGTGGACATAGCTGTGCTATGGAGTTTCTTTGACTTGGATGTATTGAGCACATGATGGGCTGTTTAAAGTGTGACCCCTCACTGTGACTGATATGAATTTGTTCATGAATATTTTTTCTATAGTGTGAAACAGCCGCCTTGTGTGGGACTGAGAGGCAAGATTTGTTCATGCCTTCCCTTTGTGACTTCAAGAACCCTGACTTCTGTTTCTGCAAAGGCATCTGAATGTGTCTGTGTTCCTGTAGGCATAATGTGAGGAGGTGGAGAGACCAGCCCAACCCCATGTCCACCATGACCCTCTTCCCCACGCTGACCTGCATTCCTTCCCCAATCACCTTTCCTGTTCCAGAAATGGGGCTGGGATGTCTCCATCTCTGTCTCAACTTCATGGTGCACTGAGCTGTAACTTCTTACTTCCCTATTAAAATTAGAATCTGAGTATAACTTTACTTTTTTCAAATTATTTCCATGAGAGGTTGATGGGTTAATTAAAGGAGAAGATTCCTGAAATTTGAGAGACAAAATAAATGGAAGACATGAGAACCTTCCAGAGTCCATGTGTTTCTTGTGCTGATTTGTTGCAGGGGAGGAGAGTAGATGGGGCTGTGCCCAGTGGGTGCTCAGGCCACTGTGGGCTTTATGTGGTCACTGCTCAGCTGGGTCATCTTTGCTGCTCTATTGTCCTTGTCCCTTCAGTAGAACCTTGTCCCATCAGGACCTGTGATCACAGGGACTTGGATGTCACCTAGGGTGGTCCTTACACATAGAAGTCCTTCCAGTATCAATAGACAAATTTTCAGACCCCTGTATCTCTCGCCCTCCTTCCAGGTCTCTTTCCTGGATTGTATTTTCCATCTTTTCCCCCAACCTTCTTAAAGGAAGCAGATTCTGAAATTTGCAGAGAGGATGGGTCCCCTAGTTTCTCATCATAGGTAACTTTCTGTTGGAGCTCCTCTTCTGCTGTCCTACTCATCTTCCTCTCCTGAGTTGTAGTAATCCTAGCGCTGGCTCCAATTCAAACTCATGGATTTATAAAGCAGAGTCTAATTTAGATTCATATGTGGTTGGAAAATTGGACCCAGAAGCCTAGGATTATCTTTCCTGAACATAAAAATATGGTTGTGTGCTGCAGTGTGCAGGAGGGTTGGTGTGGGGGGAGGGAGGACACACAAGCAGCCCTGGTGAGAAAAGCACTGGTGGCACTGATGGTGGTGTGAGATGATGTTTTTCTTTAGCTGCCATGGAACAGCATTTGCCCTGAGGCTACATTAATAAAGATATTGCCTTTAGAATAGGGAGGTGCTCTACAGTGATCATTCATTCCACTGACATTTGTTGTCTGCTAGGGATATGACTGTTTCTGCATTCAGAAAACATCATTAAAGTAAAAACTGAAAAATTTCCAGCCTTGTGGTGCATATATTCTAGATGCAAGCTGTCCAACCCGCTGCATGTGACCCAGGACAGCTTTGAATGTGAGAACTTTTTTGCTTATCTGTGGTGGCAAATATCATGAAAATTATGCATGAACATTTTTTTTCTATTCTTTCTGCTCATCAGCTGTCATTAGTGTATTTTTTGTGTGGCTCAAGACAATTCTTCTTCCCATGTGGCCCAGTGAAGCCAAAAAATTGGACACCTCTGTAGGCAGATGATAGATATAGTATAAGCAGAGTAGGAACAGAAAATGGTTGAGTGAGAAGGTGGCAAGTGCTGTGTGGCAGGTGATCCAGAGTGTGGGTTGTGGGGACAGGGAGGTGGCTGTTGTGCTGGGTGGTCAGCATGGGCCTTGTTGCAAATGTGACCTTGGAGTAAAGATTTGAGGGATGTGAGGAGTTGTCCACAGGGATGTCTGGGAAAGTTCTTTTCAGGCAGGGAACCTTCAGTGCAGATGCACTAGGGCAGGAAATTGTCTGTGTTCCTGGAAGGATAAAGAGGTCAGAAGGGTTGAACAGAGAGAAACTGAAATGAGGTCAGAGGTGTGGACAGAGCAGGTAGCCCTGGAGGGTGTGGGAAGGGTGTTGACCTTTGCTCTGAATGACATGGGGAGTTAGAGGACAGTTTTGAAAAGTGGGACATGGTAGGACTTATCCCTTGAAAGCTTCTCTCTGGCTGCTGTGCTGAGAACAGAATTGAGAGGTGGGGGACTAGTAAGGCAGTGTGGAAAACAGTGGGAAAGGAGTGGAATATTCCAGAATGGAGATGTTGCTTACCTTGACTGGGGTGTGAGCAGGGGAAATAGTGGGAAGTGAAGGGATTCTGGATGAATGTGAAGATGGACTTCACAGCACTTGCTAATGGATTTATCTGTGGTGTGAGAAGAAGAATCAAGGACACCTACAGTGTTGGACTGAGTGAGCAGAAGGGTGGAGCTGCTGTCAGTGGAGATGGGGAGACTCTGGCAGGAGCATACAGAGGAGAGGGCATCGCAGGCATTCAGTGGAGGAGACATCTACGAGGAATGCAGGTGAGGGGCCCAGATGCCTCTGCAGCTACAGATTCATCATCCAATCACTCTCCTACTTCCGCCACCCTTGTGTCTCAGAGCCAGAGCACTGATTCTCCCCTGGGCTGTCTGCACAGGCAGGTGAAAGGGAAGTTACGGTCTGCTGTTGGTTATAATAAGTCACAGATTATTGTGCTTTCTTAGATAATTAAAGAAATAATAAGAGGATGTAAAATTAGAACACTTAGTCACAAGACTACAATAATGCAAAGTTTTTTATTCATCTAAAGAAGGAAACAGAAGAATAATAGTTGAGCAAGAAAGAGATAATACTAGAAGGCAGCAAATGACAATGTACAGACTTAAACCCAATGAGGTCAACAATTACATTAAACATAATGGACTCAGACACTCCAATTACAAGACAAATAGTGCAAGGGGGTAAAAATAAATAAGTAAATAAATAACTAACCGTAGGCTATTGACAAAAGCCATAATTTCAGTAGAAGATACAGAAAAGTTGAAAGTAAAAGGATAGAAATACCAGACAAACATTCATGAAAAACCACATGGAGATGCCATTTAGAAAAATTACAGGACATGGGTCTCCTGAGACATGGAGCACACGCAGGCAGCTCACACTGTGTTTTTCCTTTTTTTCAGAGACAGGGTCTGTTGCCCAGGCTGCAATGCAATGGTGATATCATACCTCACTGGAACCTCAAACTCCTGGGCTGAAGCAATTCTCCTGCCTCAGCCTTCCGAGTAACTAGGACGACAGGCATGTGCCGCCATACCTGCTATAATGTCTCATTTTCTCATTTGCTGAGGTGTGATCAAGGAAACAATATCGTGCCATGTATTTGACTTGCAGCAGGTGCACAACGATGTCAGGTGAATGAAGAAATAAAACCATTTAGTAATCCAAGCCATATCCACATTTACATTTTACAGGTGAGGAGCAACATCCCAGACAAGTAAAATAAACTGATTTACATCATCCAGAGCAGAATCGAGAACACATTCCCTGTGCTAAAGGAATCAGAGCTCTACCAGGGGTCATAGCAGGTATCATGCAAGTCAATACGCTAATTACTAGAATTGGAATTGATACATTTTGAGATATACTAAACAAAGGGTTTGGAAGGATTAACTGAATGCAGACATAGAGGAAGAAAATTGATTTGTTTAAAAGATGGATAGAATCTTTAAAGAAAAAACTTTTTTTTTAAGTGGACTTATGTGGACCAAAGTAAAGATGAGCTCAAGTGTCAGGTGGGAAATGCCTGACTAACTGCAGCTTCCAGACCCAAGGGAGACCTAAAAATCCCAGGACATTTTCGGTTGTTATATGGGGATTGGTGGGAGGGGGTGAGTGGGGGTGCTGCTGTCAAACCTCCCACAATGCACAGGGCAGGCCACAAGGGATTCTCTGTCCCAAACTGTTAATAGTGCTACTGTTGAGAAACCCGCCCCAGAGGTAAGTGCTGTAGTGTCCTCACCATTTCACCGATTAAGAAACCGAAGGCTGAGGCGGGAGAATGGCGTAAACCCGGGAGGCGGAGCTTGCAGTGAGCTGAGATCCGGCCACTGCACTCCAGCCCCAGCACGGGCGACAGAGCGAGACTCCGTCTCAAAAAAAAAAAAAAAGAAAAAGAAAAAAAGAAACTGAGGCACCAGGGGGGAAACTGTCAGTAGGACCAGAGCTGCAGGTTGAATCCAGGCCACCTGGCTGTAGGGTCTTGGCTCCCCTGATTAAGTCAGGGACCCGGGAGCCGACCACAAACAATCCCAGCTGCGTGGTGCCTTCATGGTCTGTGGGCGCCCCCTGGTGTTGACACTGGGCCTATGGCCAAATGAGGCTTGAGGGAAAAGGGGAAAACAGGTTTAGGTAGGGGGATATTCTTTCAGGCTCTCCAGATTTTGAGCCATGACTTACGCTCAGAAAAAAATAATGTCCACCTTAATTATCTCTCCAACCCTGTTTTTCCCAGTCTCGGCCAGTTCCCTGCCTCGACTCCATCAACATCGGCACCTGCCAGACGCCCAGCACCCACCAAGTAAGGAGTGAAAAGACCCCAGGACTAAAGGACAAGACGAGGTTCCACCCCAGCCATCCCTCCCTTCCTAGAGCTCTAGCTCTGTGCGTTTAGTGCTTAGGCTGTTAACCTGGGGTCCGTGAACCCACTTTCCTGTGACACTGCATGCAGAAGTGATGTTACATGCACACATGACTTCATTACAGGACATTGGATATTAATATTCATCAGATCAGCTAGAGGCCCAAGATACACTCTTCCGCCAACAGCTTGTGATCCTCTGAATTAAAGAAAGGGTAGTGATTGAGGGAGGCCCTAACTCCAAATCTTCTACCACTTCCAGGAAAGTGCTGAAAAGCAGTGCAAGGTACTCAACCTGCGCTGGGGATACAGCAGGAAAGCAGAGCGTTCGCGGATTTCACATTCCATCAAAGAAATACCATTTTGAGAAAATATCCAAGTCACTTTTCTAAGCCCCAGGCAGTAGCTCAAAAAAAAAAAAAAAAACAAAAAACAAAAAACAAACAAACAAAAAAAAATTCTTGGCCCAGGTGAAATCTTTGAAGACATAAAACTTTGTGAGACCTGTATTTAGAGCGAAGGACAATTTAATTTAGGGTTGCAGCAGAAAACCCCTACATCATATAGGGTTTTTCCTCATCATGAAGGTCCCCTGAAGGGACCCTCTCCCTTCAGCAGTGCACAGTGAGGTCATTTCTGTGTAGAAAGATAGAATCTCCTTGGTTCCTGATGTTTACATTTACTACTCACTCTTTGACTTTGTAGATGCCAACTTCACATTAGACATCTTTCGGTTAGTTTCCTTACTCTATCTAAGCAGAGAATTTGAAATTGTTTCTGAAGCAGAAAACCAGGGACTGGTTATATGAGCTATCACCCTACTCTATGGCTCTCTTATGCAAGAAGCATAAGAGATCCTGGGCCAACAAAATTTGTAGCAAGGTAAACATAAACCCTTCATTTCAGCCTATGTTTCAGTTTGTCTAGTGGTGTTCCAGTCTTGCTCCAGTCTTAACATTTTAAAATTTATAATTG